CCCCTGCTCAACACCATTTCAGATAAGCGACTGTTTCTATTCTTAAAAACCCGGAATTCTAATCACGTGACCATGGGGATGCTGCAAAGGTCCTAACTGTGAAAAACGGCCATAAAGTCTCTTTTTTTTTCAGGGCCGGTGTAACTTCGAACGGTAATTAAGTGAATTGTTGTAAGTCGAGGGCCGCCTGTATAAATAAATAAACCACATTTTTGTACAAGTTTTCTTCCACTCCTTCGCCGGGGCTGGTAGGTAGCTGGTTGGGGGTCCCTGCCTGCTGGAAGCCGCCTCAAAGAATTGGCTCTTGACCCCCTCCTCCATTTTTCTTGAACAGCCCCCCCCCCCCCCATTTTCCGTGAGGTAATTTTATTTTCCTCCTTCGTTGTTCTCCCTCTTTGTGGTTTCCAAGCGAGCCCAAATCGGAAAGACCGCCCAGAATCCTTCAGGTAAACTATCCGGCGGTTTAATAAACCGACAATATCACCTCACGTAGACCCCGGCGGGTTCCCTCACTCCTTCCTCCTCTTCCCGCCATGGTTTCCAAGAGCAAGGCAGACATTCAACGGGTGGAGCTCTCCCTCCCTCCACCCTCACGGCCCGGAAACTCGTCCCGGCAAGGCCTTCTGGCCTCCCTCCTCGCCTCCACACTCACCCGCCGGGTTTGGGGCGGCCGCGGCGCCAGCAGCCGCCCCGAAGTTGAAAGCCATGAGGCAGAGGCGAGACACGAGCAACACCCCCACCAACACCGGCCCCCACCAACAGCCTCCAAAAGGTCCGGTCACTTTTTCCGTCCGGGCGGAAACCGTGACTCCACAGAGAAGGCCCGAAGGCGGACTATAGATCTACGAGAAATTAGAATAGAGCTCGGTTTACACTTTCTGATTCTAAACTCTTTATATATAAAAGAAGTCTGTCATAGAAATCCGTCGGCTACGTCAGAGGTGACAGGCTCGATTCATGGTCGATTGAATTTCGGAAAGAGGAACGTGTTGAGGTATATACGCTACATGCAAAAATCATTGCAGAGGTGCAACTCTTATTTTCTAGCTCTATGAACGACAACGCTCGTTCACCAGGGCATAAAAACTGGTTGCACAGTTTTGATGGTTGCTCCAGCAACTGGGCGGAGCGATTGGCCTCATCCGCGCGGTGCTCGTGAGTGACGTCATCAGACAGGCGTTATCCGAGATCCAAAATTGCAGAGCTGCTCATAACCGGCTTCCTCAAAAGGGGAGCGCTGCGCCCCCTTCAGGATTGGAAGAGGATCGCGGATCTCGTCCTCTTAACGCTTTCAATTTGCAGGCGGTCCTCAACTTACGACCGCAATTGAGCACAGTTTGTTGTGAAACATTTCTTAAGTGAGCTTTGCCCCATTTTAGGACCTTCCTTGTCCCATTTGGCACGTGAATCACTGCAGCTGTTAAGTTAGGGACCCGGTTGTTAAGTGAATCTGGCTTCCCCATTGACTTTGTGTCAGGGCTCCAGCAAATCCACCCCCATTCAAATCAAAAGTCTCTAGCCGCATCTCAGAGAAAAGAAAACTGATTTATTAGAAGTGGCCATGTTGGCGCGTGGCTGGGTCCAGCCGATACTAAATTACATCATACATTTCCCCCTTGACCCTGGTCTTTCCCCCACCCCCTGGATGTGACTTCTCCAATGGGACACCTCCACCTCCAAGAGTCATCCATCATGCTCTCCAATAACCTTCTTACGCTCCGACAACTTTGGGCTGCCAAGGTGATTATCTAGGCATTTAAGGAATGCCTTGTTTTCCTTTTTAGTTGACATTCAGCTCCCCTCACTTCCTGAAGGTGACCAGGGTCAAGGGGGAAATGTATGATGTAATTTAGTATAGGCTGCACCCAGTTAAACGCCAACATGGCCACTTCTGATAAATCAATTTTCCACCCCCATTCTTGTGAGAAGGTCGTAAAAGGGGATCACGTAACCCCGGGACACTGCAACCATCATAAATATGAATCAGTTGCCAAGCACCTGAATGTTGATCACGTGACCCTGGGGAATGCTGCAATGGTTGTGTGAAAAACAATCACTTTTTCTCAGTGACGTCCCTTTAGTCATTAAATGAACTGTTGTAAGTCAAGGACTACCTATATTGTATTGCTCCATTTGTATGCATGCACGTTTATTTTTTAACTAGATGGTTACTTCTGAGTCATTTTAAGAATATTAACCATCAATGATCTTTCTTGAAATCTTAATCTTAATTTACTGGGATCTGCTTGGCACACACGCCGAATAGAATCTTCTAACAGAAGCAGTTGTAGAAAACTTTGCATTCTGCACCATTCAGAGCCTGTTCATAAATCACGCTGGTTATCTACCTTCCAAAACTAATGGTGAAGTGCAGAAGTCATTTTTTTTTAATGTATGTGAAATAATATTTACGATGTGCATCATGCTTTTAGAAGTGCACTTATATTTGGGTTAGTTATGATTCAGTGTCAACATATGAAAGTCTTCCTCCCTCCCTCATTTCTTTCCTTGTTATTTCCTTCCTCTCTCTCTTCTTCCTTATTTCCTTCCTTCCTCCCTCTCTTCCATTATTTCCCTCCTGTTCTGACCAAGGCTTCTTGAGACACCAACAAACATATAAAATCCCAAACCCTTTAATTTTAGTTCAATGACTGTGAATTATCTTCATTCACAGCCCGGAAGGAGTTTCAACCGGTTATAGTCCCAGGAACGTCTGCCAAAGTTCTTCAGAAGAATTCTGATAAGAACGCACCTTATCTGACTTGATGTGCTGCCAACAACGAAAGTCCCAATTAGTCTTTCAAAACCGAAATGGAGAACAAATTGAACACAGAGCTTTCAGAGTCCAAACTGATCAGAGCGAACGACGTTGCTTCCTGCAAAGGTTTCTCTGCCTTTGCACTTTCTTTATACCTTATGGGAGGGGCAATCATCTCCAAGCCTTACTCCCGAGTCACCCCTTTTGTCTTAGCTGCTCTTGCCTTCTAGCAGCTCTGTGCACATGCACACTGGGAACAGGCTCCCCTTGTTCCTCGGCCTCACTGCTGCCAGATTCTGCAGGCTACGGAGTCAGCACATAGCTCCCAGATGGTCCTGGCCCCATCTCTGCATCGGACACAGGACCCTCGACCGTCCTCTCCAGACTCCCTGACTATTTCCCGTTCTTCCCCACTGTCCGATTCCGCTGCTGTCTGCACAGGCTGCCGGCGAACCACACCTCCTTCCACCCTCTGTTATTTTCTTCCTTCTGTTATTTCCTTCCTCCCTCTCTTCTTCCATTATTTCCTTCCTCTTCTTCCTTCTATTATTTCCTTCCTTCATCCCTTGTTATTTCCCTCCCTCCCTCCCTTCCATTATTTCCTCCCTCCCCTTCCATAATTTTTTTCCTTCCTCTTCTTTCCTCTATTTCCTTCCTTCCTCCCTCTTCTTCTGTTATTTCCTTCCTTTCTCCCTCCCTCCTTCATTTTTCTTCCTCCCTCTCTCCTTCCTTCTCCTCCCTTTCTTTCCTTCCTTCCTTCCCCCCAGCCCACCTGAGCATGAAATGCATTTCCTTGTTTTGGTCTTCCCTTTTAAGACACAAGAAAACAAAGAAACTAAAGAACAAAAACATATTTTACTCACTGCTTGGTATAGTTCCATCATGCCATAAAAGTGTGTTAGACTTCAGGGTGACACAAAACTGTTTTTAAGGCCAGCGCTTGTCATTAACTCAGTAACACAACCTTGGAAAAGCAGCTATGGCACAATCTTAGCTTCCCATCTTCTAAAAGGGTTAATATTAGTGTACCTTGTGCAACTTGTAGAATACAGAGGGATCAGAAGCTTTTTTTGAGTTAAGAGAAGCATTAGATAAATGTGATTTAAACCCAACCCTGTCCCTTACAACTGAACGAGGGCTCGAATCTTTCTAAAAGAGAGCAGTCTATGGTTTCAGTCCAAGATAGTGGGTCAGTGCACACATCACCACTTGTGCAGCTGCAGGGCAAATATTGGGATGTCCAGTTGGCTTACAAGGAACCTGCAGATTCCTGGGGACTTGGTGCGAGAGCCTCCACGTCAAGAGCGGAAACAATGGCGGGCAACTTACAAAACGTGCCCATCATTTCTAGATTTGTGCAAGAGAAGCCACTGGGCTTTAAGTACCAGCAGCGATTGGCTTTGTCCAGTTAAATTAGAAAAATATGTTCAGGAAAAGGCTGTTTGGGGACTGGATCCTGAATTTATCCATCATCTTCAGCAACGGATAAATTTGCCAGTAATATTGGTTTCAAGAGTAAGAAGCCTTTATCCTTGGGGTTTTTTTTTTCTTAACAAGAAACCTCAAATCATCCATCAATTATAGCCAGCTATAAAAGATGCTTAAAATTAAACAAGCAACATTGCAAGCATGTTTAGTGCCTTTAGAATTGATTGCAGTTCCGACTTCATAAGCAGCTCATAGTTCCGTACTGAAATCCAGTTGTGGTTCTCCCTTCCAAATTGTCTTAAATTGAGTAATTTTTGAGTAGAGGAGAAACTAGCCCTTTGATTTATTACTAGCTATTGCAAAACCTTTGTGTATTTAAAGCTGCTACCCAGAGAGTCAATTGCTAGTCCTACATCTGGCCACATCTACTTTTCAACATGTCAAACAAGAGACCAGCAATAGAAAAGAATATTTATAGCTTAAGGTTCAACTGTGGGGGTCTTTGGTGTTCTCTGAGCTTGGAGTGTTTTCTTGCAGATGTTTCGCTACCCAACAAGCCAGTTGTATATAAACAGAGAGTAAAACCCACTCCCTTTAGCACTGATGAGGTTACCTAGTTGGGCAATGAAACGTCTCCAAGAAAACAGCCAAGCTCAGGGAGCACCAAGGACCCCAAAGAGACTAACAGGCCAACTTTTCAGAAGACCGACCAATTTATTTTTGTAATTGTGACAAGAGAACTCTCCTTTGAAAGCAAAAGTGATTTCACTTTGCCTATAATCTGTTATAAGTTATATCAGTCCTAGGCTAAAAGCTATCCATGCAGAATAGGCCAGAACTCCACCATCTTGACCTACAGTATTGTGTAGTACAACTCCTGGGCTCCTAAGACTTCGATATATTCTTTTCTTTTTGCTTTTTTGTCTCTGCAAATATTCAAAACTGTCTCTCTTTTTGCAATCAGTTGATGCACTGTAATCTGACATTTTCATTTCTGAGCTGAAAAAGGTTAATATTCAGATTTTAATCTAATTGGCAGAATTTGCCCAACCTCCAAGGAAACCACTATCATCACCTGTCACAGGTTTGCAAACCGTGTGCCTCTAATCTCTTAGATTAATTCTACAATAGAGGGCACCTTCAACCTTGGTTAACTTCCCAGAACTCTGCCTGGCACAACTGGGGATGAAATGCCCAGGCTAAGGGACATTCGGTGGGATCCAGCAAAGCCATTTTTAAGATGAAGTTAAAGTAATACAACCAGGCACAGCAAAAGCCATGGGAATCCTTCCTAACCCAACAGGATAATTTTAAGATTGCAAACTGAAGGAACCACTTCATTTCTAACAATAGGATTCTAACAATAGGACATTTGGGGAACTGAGTATCGTGGTGAGACTTCAGGCAATAAAGTAATAGATACACTACAGAAAAGAAGCAGAGGAAAGTATCAGGAACATTTTTCACTGCTTAGTTAGGAGGGAAAAAATAGTGTTCAATTTGAGCTTGACTCCTGGTGCCTTCATGGACATCCATGTTGTTTTCTTGGCAAATACAGCTTTCTTCCAGAATTTTTTTTCCAACTTCCATAATGTCAGATGTCTTGGGCTTTTCCTTCTCCTCTCCTCTCCGAATTATCAAGCAAGCAGGATTAGCCAGATTACTGGCTACCAACAAGATTACTGGCTACCATCTTACTTTCAGGACCATCTCAAAAAGGATTCCAGCTTCCCTTCATCAAATCAGTGCAATCAAATCACTCGACAAAGACGGCACATCCAATCAATCAGAATAGAGTTGGAAGGGACCTTGGAGGTCTTCTAGTCCAACCCCCTGTGCAAGCAGTAGACCCTCCAGTGCAAATGAATGATCCTGTAAAACTTCCCTTTTTTTCTCCCCTCAAAGCAATCACATTATCTTGACAAACCGCAGGCTTCGGCCTGCAGGGTTTAAATTCTATGTTGGCTGTTAATTGTGAAGACTCCGATCCCTTCTTTTTTTCCTCCCAAGTTGAAGGAGGAAATGACGGCCACATCTGGATGGATGTCTCGGAGGGAAGAGGCCTTTAGATCTTGACAAAAAATGTGTGTTGGATTTAAAGAAGAAATCTGTTATCCCCAAATCATTTTTAAAGGAGATGAGAGAGAAAGGACGAGTGAAAAAACCTTCACACATGAAGTTGTGTATTCTTGGAAAATATGTGTGACATGTCCAGTTTGTAGAGATGGCGCCTTCAAACATACTTTGTGTGTGTACTTTTTTAAAAAATAAAATAAAATAGTTAAAATCCCAGTAAATCTTTTGGGTCCAGGGGCTGGATCTTTTAAACTCTATTTCCACTCTATTGCCAACTCTATTTCCATAGATACACAAATAGGAGAGAATTCACTAGCAAACACCTGAGGCAGCCTTCCTCAATCTGGTATTCTCTCAAAGAGTTGGCACTGCCACAGGGTGCCAAGTTAATAAAAGCTGGTCTGAGCCTTTTACTCAAAAGGAAATTAAAAAACAAACCAACACCGAATGGGGCATTTGATGGCCTGAACAAAAATAGGCATTTTCCTTGGATGTATGTAAAATTCTTCTTTTTTCTTTCCGGTGCAAAGATTTACGCTATGGGAAAAATGAAACTCCAAGTAGATCTGACCCGTAAGATTCACCAAGAAATCAAATTATGGCAGGACGAGGGCTGGACTAGCAAATCTCCTAAACTAAATAAGGATGTCATCAAAGGCTGACATCATCTTTCATGACACCTCCAATAAACAGCAAGGGAAACCAGGTGCAGTTGCAACTCCACAAGTCCAACAAAATGATAGAAGTGTAGTGAAATACTACTGCTATTTTCACACTCTGGGAAAGCGGTGGCAAATGGCGTCCAACCGACCCCTTTAAAAAGCCTGTAATGCTGCCCCCCTCCGTTTAGGTTCCGTTTACAAATGCCCAACCTTCCTCGGAAGCAGGTGGTTACTAAATGCTAGCAAGAGGACGACTTCAAGGGTGCCATTGAAGTGGTAGGTTGTGGTGGCAGTTTAAAAACGCTTGCCCTTTACAGTCATCATTGTGAAGCTCTCTCTTTTTTTCTGTAAACCTGGCATGGTCGGGGGAGATGGAGTTAAGTCCGGATAAGTGGAGCTCGCTCGTCAACGTTACCCTGTTATTAGGGGGAGGCAAAAAAGAAAAGAAAAAAGCAAGGAGTTAATTTAGGAGATTGTGTTTACGCGACTCGTTTCATCTATCGACTCCTGCAACTTTGCTGGAGATGGCAAAGAATCCGAGTAGATTTTTCTCAAGTCCTGTTCACAGATAAATTGTGGATGAGTGGACTCTAACCAAGGGCTGATCTGATAGAATAGAATATTTAGCAGCTCAGAGTGAGGTCCTTGGTTGTTTTCTGGCAGATGCTTCGTTACCCAACTATGTATCGGTGTTAGAAGGAAGTGTCCCACCAACACTGGCAGGGCAATAAAAACATAGGCTGCTTTTACCATAATTTCAACTGGGAAACTGTGAGACCAAACTAAATCCAAAACCGCTAGAGAATTCCTGGAAGCCTGATGTGGAATATTGAAATAAAGGAGTGAAGCCAAGAAATGAAGGCTTCACTCAGATCTGCCATAACAGTGGGGAAAAAATAGTGTAACCTGACTGGCTGAGCCATCTGACAGCTCCCTATAAAAGGGTGAGCTGTCAGACAGATTGTTCTTGTTGTTGTTGTTACTGAATAAAGAGCTTGAAGTTGAATATTAGCCTCTGCCCCTTACATCTGATATAGAATACCTGGCACTCCAACAAATCAGCCATCAACAGGCACATAGAGGTAAACAACGTCTACATATCGTTCAAAAGAAACAGTCAAAAAGCTAAAAGGCCACCATATCTCCACCCCAGCAATCGACACCCAGATAATCAGAGATTAACGCCAAGATTAATACAAGATCATCAAGCAATAAACAATTCCCCAGTCAAGGAACTACCAATTCTGACAAACAATCCAACCACAAACAATAATCTAATCAAGGAACCATCCAGAACACTCCATCAATATTGACAGGGGAAGCCACTTTTATATAAACAGAGAGCAACCCCACTCCTTTCTAACACTGATGGAGTTTCCTAGTTGGGTAATGAAACATCTGCAAGAAAAACAACTGAGCTCAGAGAACACCAAAGACCCCACAAGTACCCTCTGAGCAGTACCCTATTTGAGCAGATCGATCTAGTGGCATTGAATTCCTAAGACAGTCCTATTTCAGAATGCATGGGAAGGATGCTATGTTCAAACGTGTTTTTAATTCAATTTCCCCTTGCTGGTGAGAAATGGGTCTAGCAGGGAGATGTTTTCAGTCAAACTGTATTTTCCTAAGCTGTTTTATTCCTAGGGTCAAAGAAATGTGTTGGGTTGGTTTTTTTCCTCCAATTTCCATGGTTTCTACTCAAGCAATGAATCTGAATAGAAGATTACATTTGCAAGAAGCAGCAATATTAGATAGCTGAATTCACCTGAGCTGCAAGGTTTAGTGAGCCTTTTAATCTTTAAGCTCTAAAAACATTGGAATAGAACAACCTACCTTTGGGTGCCAATGCTGAGGAGAACATCTGTGTAAAAACGTACCTTGTTGGTTTCACAAGACTATGTAAAAACAACCAGGTGTTTAAAAAAATAAATAAATCCAGCCCATGAAGTACCTTCACCAGGATCAAATCTCACCAAATCCATACCATCCCTGAAGAGCAGTATTTATATATTCCCTCTAAGATCAGAAAAGGGAGCCGAGCAATTCGAGTTTATTGTATTTTTCAGAGTATAAGACACTCCGAAGTATAAGCCGCACCTAGCTTTTGGGGAGGAAAAAAAAAATCTGCCTCTTCCTCCCAGGAATTTGCCTCCTTGCAGCAAACAGCAAACAGCCTGTTTCAGCTTCAGCACAGCCTGATTAGCACAAGCAGATGATTGTCGGTTGGCTCGGCCTCCTGACGATCAGCTGTTTCAGGCTGCAGGGATTGCCATCGCCTATTGCTGCCTCCGCGCGTCCCATTTTCGGCCCGTTCTGGGCAATGGGGATCAAAACGGGCCGAAAATGGGGCACACAGAGGCCGAAAATGGGGCGCACTCAGGCAGCAACAGGCAATGGCAATCCCTGCAGCCTGAAACAGCTGATCGTCGGGAGGTGGATCCAACTGGCAATCAGCCGTTTGTGCTAATCAGGCTGTGTTGAAGCTGAAACAGGCTGTTTGCTGTAAGGAAGCAAATTGCTGGGAGGCAGAGGCCGAAGGGTGGGGGCCGGTGGGTGGCTTTGGCAACATTCGGTCTATATGACATACAGACATTTCCATCCACTTTTTGGGGTGGAAAAAGTGCATCTTATACTCTGAAAAATACGGTAATAACATCCCTTCTCTCCACACTGCAGACCAATGAAAGCCCTACAGACCCATAGATCAGAACCCAAGAGGGATCCCCAACACAGAAATGTGGGGTCATTCTCAGAGTTTAGGGTCCCTGTTTAGAAGATGCAGCACCCAGAAGCCAAAGCAGGAAGTCCTTTCCTCAAATGTTCCTCTTCGCCGGCACTGTGCGAAGAGGTAGCCCTGGACTTACGACCCTCACTGACTGAGCCCAACATTTCCGTTGCTAAGCAAGACACTTGTTAAGTGAGCTCTGCCCGCTTCACGACCTTTCTCGAGCCCCGTTTTGAAGGGATTCGACGCAGTTGTGAAATTAGCAACATGGTGGTTAAGCGAAACTAGCTTCTGCATTGACTTTGTTTGCCCGAAGATTGCAAAAAGGGGTCATGTGACCTCCAAACATTGCACACTGTTGTAAATAGGAGCCAGTTTGCCAAGCACCTGAATTTTGACCACCTGACCCCGGGGATGCTGCAACGGTCGTTAAGTGTGAAAAACGGCCGTAAGTCCCATTTTTTCCAGTGCCGTTATCACTTTGAACGGTCACTAAACGAATTGTTGTAAGTCGAGGACTACCATACTGTGGGGGCTTGATTTAAGACTGGCAAACCCTTTGCACCGCTTAGTCTTTCCCCTTTTAGCGATGAACCTACAAACGGGCCACAGAGTTTATGGATTGTCATTTTAGTAGAGTTGCACCGCGTATAATTGACAGACAGGATTTTATTACAGATTTTAGTTGCAGTTTATTATTTTATAGTAGAATTTTAAAATGTATATTTACTGAGTGCTTTTATTTGTTCTGGTCTCTGGTTTGAGGCTGTAATAAAATGATTGACTGATTGAAGACTGGGGGATCCAGCTTCTCCCCAGTCTGTGCAGGGGCCCACATAATACCGCACTTCCCCAAAAATAAGACCCTGTCTTATATATTTTTTTTGCCACCAAAAAAGGCACCAGGTCTTATTTTCGGGGGATGTCGTCCACTAACTACCCTCACTCGCGCGCATCACCCCCGGCCTTCTTTTCACTCTCAGAGGCTTTCAGGAACTACTACTTCTGCGGCTGGCAAGGCTTTCCTGAAGGCCTCTGCAGCCAAAAATGGAGCTTTGTTATCAGCTACAGAGGCCTTCAGGAAAGCCTTGCCAGCTGCAGAAGAAATGGGCCGGCAAGGCAGGTGCCGCGGTGTGTGAGGCCTGGCTACAACTGTCCAAAGATAAGTAGTAAAACAGTTCCACCCCTCCCCCATCCTCCCCAGCTTAATTTTTACCTGCGCACTCTGGAGTGGGCGGGATCTTAATTAGGGCTTATTTTGGGGTAGGGCTTGTATTGGGCTCACATGTAAAAAAAATCAAGCTAGGACTTACTTTCAGGGTAAGTCATATTTTGGGGGAAACAGGGTAGTTATGTAGCGAGGGGAAAGGGGATAACTTCCAAGGTATATGTTGGCTCTTCAGGGTGAAGCTGACTAGAAAGCCAAGAGTTATTGAATGCAAACGTGACATTTATGATAAAGTTCACCTAAGAGAACTTTGCAAGTCTGAATGCTCTTTTTCTCTTCATCCCTTTTTCTTTGTGAGAACTACAGAGTCCCAAAGGTGCTTTTTTCCCAAGAGGCAACTGGACTTTCTGATTATTATTATTTTTTTTGGAAGACATTTCGCTTCTCATCCAAGCAGCTCAGAGCTCATTAATCAGATTAACAGAGTTGAGAGGGTCCTTGTAGGTCATTTAGTCCAACCCCCCCTGCCCAAGCAGGAGACCCTACCTACACCATTTCTGAGGAGAAATGGAGAAGCTTCTTGGATGAGAAGTGGAACGTCTTCAAAGGAAAAATCAGAACGTTCAGTTGCCTCTTGAAAAAAAGCACCTTTGGGACAACTTGGATGACTGAGTCTCCATAGACATACAGAGAGAGTCCTGTTTAAGATGCTTTCTCAAATTACACCTCTAGCCCAGACTCAGGTTTCTTTTATCCGACCGCCATCTTGCTAACAGCTCTTTCTTCAGTGCCTCAAAATTACTCCTGTTCTCCCTTACAAGCAATCCTCGAATTACGACCGTTCCTTCAGCAGCCACTTGAAATGACAAAGGCTTCCTGGTGTTTGGCCCTTGGGGGAGGGTGACTGCCATATGCCCCACTGGGGAAGCTTGCTGACTGGGGAATTTTAGGAGTTGAAGTCCACACCTCTTCAAATTGCCCAAGGTTAGCAAACACTGTTCTGGGTGGCCTTATCTCTTTGGCACACACAAGAGAATGGCTTTCATGGCAAACTATACATGAACTACAATTTTTATGCAAGCACCAGCATTAAAAAGTAATAAACTGCTTGATTAATCTAGGATATCACTTTAGTATCTTTTGTTTTGTTTTTAAATGGCTCCAGCTAACCTAGGGGTCCCCAAACTTGCCAACTTTAAGATTTGTGGACTTTAACTCCCAGAATTCCTCAGCCAGCTATGCTGGCTGAGGAATTCTGGGAGTCGAACTCCACAAGTTGGCAAGTTTGGAGACCTCTGAGCTAAGCCATCCCAAAGCTGTTGCAATCTACCAAGAGTTGAGAGTGGGTAACCCGAGGCCTAGGTTACTAAAGCAGAACAATTAAATCTCAAAACTGGTTCACACATGTATATTTATACTTCATGATGCTCAAAGTTTCATATAGTCCCTGCTTGAGCCCATCGTAAGGCAATAATATTCATTTATGCAATACGATTTTAATTAACCAATAGGAATTTCCGCGCCCATAATGCCAATAAGTGGCTGGTACATGTGTAAAACTAAGCTTTTAAGATTTCAGAATTCCTTATTCAAGCTCCTTGTTGGCAGTTTGGAGACCCCAGGAAGAGACAAATTTTGCGTGGTCTTACCATGTGATACAAGTCAGCATCAGAATGTTGCTGAGACGCATTTTACTGTGGGTCTATTAAACCTTTCCCCTAAAATGAACAAGTAGGTAGGTGAGGAAGGAAGGAAGGAAGGAAGGAAGGAAGGAAGGAAGGAAGGAAGG